GATATTTTTATACTGTATTTGCTCCCTGGCTCAATAAGTCACCGTCTGTTTCTAAAATATATGGTTTTTGTTTCGGATCAATGAAATGAACAAGCACTTGGATTTGTGTTCATATTCGAGAATAGTTGTTCCGTCGATTCGAAGTCTCTGTTTCGTCTCTGTAGACTAAAGGAATGTCCTTGATTAATGTTTTGTTCAGTGTTACAGTGCAATATACATGTATTCTATGATGCAACGTAAATCTGTTATTTGTCCTCTATGCGAACGACGATTCTTCATAGGTCCTACAAATTTCTGGAGCACTTCTACTCCGCCGAGATTACTAAGCTATATACAAGAAATCGACTCACTAAGTTTTGCATGACGCATTTGTACATATTCAAGGAACTAATTGCAGAGAGTTCGTTTTTGTGCAAAAGATCTACGAGAGCAAATAACTAAACGAATCACTACATGAATGAAACACGTCTCATTCGTAGTATGTTTCAAACATAATCTAAACAGTTATATAAAAGTTGGATGGCTCGCTTATCAGACCAATGCACTTTTCATCAGTTGCAATATGACGTCACTCGCAATCTATCAACTCTATCTGCCACTCCCTCAGTTTGAGGAACGATTATGTCGAAAATTACCATCGTTGATTATTATTATATTACGACACACACAGCTGTAGTGACTGTGTTGGTTATACAATAACACTAGGGTTATTGTCCCTTCCATACTCATGTGTAATTAAATTAAATTAAATTAAATTAAATCAAACATTCGAAAAATAGTTATATACTTCTACGACCCATCAACTTAGCAGCGAACAAGCGGTTCACGTGGTTGAGCGACACGATTCTAATGCATATAGGTAAAAAAAATCAATTGTGTATCGATAGTTGTTTAATGTGACTGAACAATATAATCTCATTTGTATCAGTGTTATTGAATACTCTGCTATTTAATTATAAACTTTGCTTAAATATTGCTTAATAGCTCAAATGTACCCTTCCCAGAATTCACTTCTGTAATTTGTGAAATCATTCAACAAAACAGGAAAATATGACAAATACATTTGTAACAATAGAGCATGAACCTGATAACAACTATTCGAACCAATTAATTTGATTTGTTTAAACATCTGACACCCCGTCCTTGCGCTTATATATATATATATATATATGAATGATGCATGTGACCTCTGCCACCAAAGTGAAACTATGACATGTAAGGTTGCATTGTAATTGCTGTATTCTCCCCCATACTCAAAACATCGCATAAAGGTCAATTGCCAATTCAATTTCTAGTCTTGCATTGAGTTTTCCCGCTAATATTTCTCTGTACCACCGAATTGTCTTTATAGATAATTTTTTTTTCTCTTCTAAGTGTTTTGTTTACATTTTGGATCATTGTGACAATGGTTCCACCATAACATATATTCGCATTTATACACTACTTTCAAATAATTTACCGGCGTACACCTTTTCACACTATTGATTCACTAAAAATGTCTTTCATCCATGGGTGGCTTATCGTCTTGCATTCGCTAATTACATGATGATTTGTTTTGGTTCTGTGTGGGAAGCTTCCTTAAATTTTCAAAATTCCCCGAAATCTGCAGTGAAGTGGCGTTCATAATTTCTATCGATAATCATTATTATTTTGAAATTATCTCAGAATTTGGTTCCATTTCTCATTCATTTTACTAAATATATGACCTTTTTTGTTCTCTTCAAAAACTTTGCGTGTTCATTTGATAGTAATATCAATGTTATCATTTATTACGAAATAACCAATTCACAATTTTCGCTGAGCCAAAAGATTATGAACAGGGAAAGTTGAAGACAATTAGTGGAAGGCGTTTGCCATTCGGTTCGTTTGATTCCACGGTCGCCATCTTGAAAACATCGCCTCATCGTTCATTAATTTGCATTTTCAAACAACTTAGAATGCGCAGATACGTTTCTTAGTGCCGTACAATTTCGGTAAGTTGTAACAGCATGATGTGAGCCGGAAACCTATGTATATATACACTGCTATAATGCTAAATATATAATGCATACATCGGTAAAGTCTTTTATTTTCTACAAACACACATTTCATGTCTTCTCCCTATTCAAATAACACTTTGGTGTATTGAAGCACGATTTATGCCGAATGAATTCACTTTCGGTGACACCTGAATGTCTAATGGATAACCTAGTCCCATTACGTTGCTGAATAGTAAGTACGTTACGAATTGCGTCGGAAATACCTTTCACAAATGCGAGTGTATGTGTGTCTTGCTATGTATGTTTCTATGCCATCTGCAGTCTTTGTTGCTTTGTATTCTGTACCTTGGGAAATGAAGGTTGAGTGGAGCAGCTCTTACACATTTATAAACCTAAAATGTAACTGTTGCCCCTCTGTCGCTAAGGCGACGACCATTTGCTGGAATTTGATTATGTCAACGATCATACGTCCCTGTGTGTAAAGCATATAGCGTGAGATTGGAGAGTGACTGTTCCAGTACACCGCCTGCTACTCAGTGAAAGAAAAGTGTACAACGTATTCAAATTACCTCTATGAGATTAGTGAATGCGTAGCACCGTTAGTGCATGTGGTGAACTACTGCTTTTCCTTTTATAAAGCCGGCGATTATGGTGAATACATTTCAACTATTTCATTTCATATTTATAAATATTAGGTATTATACAACGGGCTGTACAGGATGTACCGAGTTATGCTGTAATTGGTAACTTAACCGAAAACAACGCGATAAACATTTTCGGCAGAACACCCTCGGGTTTTAAACGATGTCAATAGGTTGATATATTGTAAGATATGTTTTGCATATCTATGACTCACAGCGAGTTTCGACATTTAGTTTGATTATAAATCGTATACAGATAACAAAGGTTTGATATGATCATTATAGATATCTACAATTTAAATTGCGTTTACACTGTTAGATGTGTACTATATATTGTATCACTACATATTTGTGAAAACATACGGGGTGAAATATTATTTTGATGTATGTTACTACATCAACATTAGAGATCGGTTTCAGATGGCTTAGGCCGTAATGGATGAGTGTATTGAGAAGAGGACGTTTAACATTTGTTGATTCTTAATATTAGTGTATGTCTCACAGGTCACAATAGCACGTTGTCCACAACCCCAAACATACTCTGGCATTCACAGCATAACTGCGATATAGCATCATGAAAAAATAACCAGCCTTTATTTTAGAGCGAAGATACGGTCGATAATCGTAGGTCGTCAGCCACTAAAACATGTTAGACACCTTTTATGTTGATGCTTATAAAGTCATTCATATGTGAGCACAGAGCTGGGAGATCCATTTATGCATCACAAATGTCGCCGATCGCCAAACATTTGCAGTAAAACTTCTTTGATTATTTTTTTCCTAATCACATGGGTAGATCTGAATTTGATATATCTGCAAGCTGTAACTGTGCAGCAATACAATTAGATAGTTTTTTCTGCGTCATTCACATGTCGCACATACGACGTGGTTAGGAATAACAGTTTTCAAACATTTACATTGTGACAGTTTGTGATCTCACCAATGTGTTTATAGTTCCACGGTGAAACACGCCATACAAGTATGTCTACCGAGGTTATATGCGTCAACGAAATATACTGCTTCTCACACAGCACATTATTTTCATATGTTTATCCTACGTATTTATGTTCGTGCTCTTTTCTCAAGTGCGTAACGCACTTACAGAAAGTGAGTAATCGCGCATTTCTCTTTTTATCTGCGGTCTTTATCAGCCGGTGAAAAGAGATATCAAAGAGGATTAATACGGAGAGTAATTCTCCACCCACTTCACAATATACCTTTTAAATTAATAAGTACAAGGAGTCCATTCATTTTGCAAACATCAATAAGATTGGGAGCATGTTGAAAGGAGACGCAGGCGGGGTAGTTCATCGTGATGTCATGACAACATCTTGATATCAACGATGATAACATATCATCACTCAGCTCATTTTTATTCCTGTTTAACCCTATGAAATTAAATTGAAGATGCCAGAAGTCCACATTATCCAATCTGTTATTTAGACCCGCTTCAATCTTTCTCTTAATTCCGCTAATATCATGCGGATAATAGTATATTGTTTGGCATCATTGAATGTAGAAATGTCTAGGCATGCATGTTATTGCGCATTTAAAATTGAGTTAATTATATATAAATCAAAGATTAATGATAATATGCAGTATATTTACTTAATATTTCGACATCATCACGTTCTGAATATGCGATAATGGTGTATATGCCCCTTCCCACTCCGTTGTCACAATGTGTATACATCATATTTATTTTAATAATAATTATGACCAGACTTCTATGACGTCATTATTGTAATATAATTGACAACCACTTAGTCTTCACATCAAAATCCTGATTTAATGTGCACTATAGATTAAATACTATCTGGTTGTGGAGTAGTAATTTGTGTATCAGCAGGGAGTCACCAAGTGGCATTAGTACTTGAAGACCAAATGTATTCTTTCCAATGTGAAACCGATCCCCGTAGGATATTGAGATTGCATATTTAAAATTGATTGTTTATCGTTCTGATTGTAAATAATACAAGCAAATAATCAAATTGTAGCATACAATCAAATTATTTCTTTCATTCATTCATATATGAAAATGTTATTGCATGTTGCTATGTTCTATTGCTTTGTTTCGTTCGTTGAAATATACACCGGAGAACTCAACGCACTCGAAGTCAGAGCTGTGTATGATTGTGGACACGTATAAGTTATAAACATAAAAAAATATATAAGAATATTTGGTAGCGAATTTATTTATCGCCAAATAATTATGCTTGAAATGTAAATGTACTTTTATAGAGTGGTCATTTATGTTTATTTCAACTTCTATTGTAGTTAGTATGTACAAGTACGTACATGTTATATACTGTGTATGTACGACTACATTTTATATTTCTTCCGACGCCATATTCAACGACTCATGTGTTTTTTTATCCAGGTGCTGGTGAATCAGGCAAGAGTACTATTGTAAAGCAAATGAAGTGAGTATACGTTATTATTATATATGGTTGTAAAAAAGTAAATTTACGTAAAGCGTCACGTTTGTCACGCAGCACGTTTTCAATGTATTTTACATATTTTGTATACATCGCGTGGGTCCCATGCTTCAAATATAATATTTAGTTATCTTTGTTGAACATATGTGAATTATATCTTTCACTGCCATGTCAATAACATTCAAACATGTCAATAATACAAACATGTCAATAACACGTTTAAACATGTCAATAATACACATATGTCAATAGCACGTTTAACCATGTTAATAATACAAACATGTCAATAACACATTTAAATATGTCAATAATACAAACATGTCAACAACACATTCAAACATGTCAATAATACAAATATGTCAATAGCACGTTTAAAAATGTTAATAATACAAACATGTCAATAGCTCATTCAAACATGTCAATAATACGAATATGTCAATATCACGTTTAAACATGTTAATGATACAAACATGTCGATAGCACGTTTAAACATGTTAATAATACAAATATGTCAATAGCTCATTCAAACATGTCAATAATACAAATATGTCAATAGCTCGTTTGAACATGTTAATAATACAAATATGCCAATAATGCACGTTTGAACATGTTGATTATACGAACATGTCAATATCACGTTTAAACATATTAATGATACAAACATGTCAATACCACGTTTAAACCTGTTAATAATAGAAACATGTCAATAGAACATTCAAACATGTTAATAATACAAATATGTCCATAATGAACGTTTGAAG